AGATATCTCAACGGTAGTATTAGCTTTAACTACGTTTCTAGATCCCGAGACGGCTAGTTGCAGGGGTATTGGTTTCTCCAAGACGGAGTATCGGAGCTTGAGCTAGTCAATGATTGTGGTCGAGAGGAAGTCCGTCAAAGAGCCTGAGTCTAGGAGGGCTCTGCAGGGCTTGCCGTTCATGAGCACTATAACTACTATCGACCAAGGGAGGATCCTTGAAGTGGATTTCGGTCTAGCAGCTTGTCGCTGAAGGGTTCTTAAATCCGGGAGTTCAGCATGCCTACTGCTGCTCACGCAGTATAGAGTGTTAATGTTAGTGTATTCCTCATCCTCTGACATCTCACAATCCAACAAAGGGGGTAAAATGTTGTCTTCATCCTGGGTCAAAGGTGATAGGAGTCTTTGGTCGCCGTACTCGTGTTGACTTGGTAGCAAGACGACTGCGATGTCGACGGACGGGTGGTCAGTCGATAATGCGGTCTTTGTCAGTGAAGAGGAGGGTGTCTCAGTCCAGGACGGTTTGAAGGACGTCTTAGTGTGAATAAGGTCTCTGAAGTTCCGAAGTTTCAGATCGACTAGCCATGCAACTGCATTGAACTCTGGTTGCATAATTGACTAAAGTGCACAATATAGTCGTCATAATTGTGACAATCCAAGAGGAGGTAGGTGTCTGGACTGCTGTGGTTAGAGAGGCAGAATCTGTCTAATGCAAAAGGGTCATACAGAGGGTCAATTAACTCATTGGTTGGCAGTGGGACAGCTAGTAGGAGAGTGGCTAGAATCTGCTGTTCGACAACACGGTGTTTTTCCACGTTAAGTTCAGATAAATCTTCTAACTCAACCGCCATTCCATACAGTCCGGAAGTGATACCTTCTTCGATGGCAGTAGATCTAATATCAGCGCTAGAGATGCTGACCATGTTCGCTCGGATGGCGGGGGGGTTGCGTCCAGGAGGTTTGAATGTCAGACGATGGTGTTTCGGGCAATCTTTAGCTAAGTGTCCCGTTTGTTCGCACTCAAAACACTGGTTAAGGTCACAAAGCTGTTTTAGGTGTTCAGGGGCCTTCTTAAACCTTTCTGGATTCCCAGGGACCCTAGGAGGGGGCGCTCCTGGGCGAGGGTGACTGCGTCCTCATGGGTCACGAGGCGTTCAGTGATGGATGGCATTGGCTGAGATGGATTGAGTCCGGGGCCGTTTGTCCATCCTATTACCATGCTGCGATTCTCTGCGGTCGCTTCGACCATTACTCTGGGCATATCCTGCGGCTAAGGTCAGGTTGATGGCCAGTAAGATGTTCGGATCCTTGGTGTTTTCAAGGAACGCTCTCTTGGTGCACAAAGCTTTCTTTTCGATCGTTTCAAGGCTTACCATGTTTGGCTCATAGCCTTTATCGACTAAGGAGGCTTTTAGGTAGGGGAGACAGTTCATCCAGAACTGCCTCACCATCTCGCGTTCATCTACGTCTCCAGCCATATCAGCGAGTGTCCTGAGACGTCTCAAGTAATCACGTATGCTCTGTCTGTTCTCCTGGCAGCACTCAATAAATTTCTGATGTTGTTGCATCCTAAAGTCAGGGGGAAACACGTAGTCGAATAGCTGTTCAAAGAACTCGGTAAGTGAGTACGATTTCTCTAGGTCAAGTATGTCGCGCTCATAGAATTGGTAGGCCTGTCCGCTCAGATACTTTCCCAGCATGTGTAGGCTTTGACCTGTCGTTAATCTGGCGCGATCCTTCCAATCACAAACTTCACAAACCCACTTCTTAAACATAGTGGAGTTAGCATCGCCATTATAGGTGAACGGTGGTTCATTTTTGATGAAACTTTGTTGATATTTGAGTAGATTCAGCTTGGCTCAATACTGCCTCCTTGCAGTCCTTTTCAAGTGCTTGGTATCTGGGGAGTCGCTAGCATGGTCTGATTTGGGCTCAAGAGCGAGAAAGTCAGCTCCAAAGTCGTTGGTGGGATAGAGACTACTGTGATCCAGGTCCTGGTTATCATAAGACTTCGCATTAACAGGGCGATTTGGGAGTGCAGTCTTTCTTTTGATAACTGGGGTCTCATCTTCAGAACTGGATTCGGTCGAGGACTCCTTGTCATCTTCGGACGACTCGGATGGCGAGTTATCAGGGTCAGGATCCTTGTGACTGTTACCAAGCATCGCTCATTTGACTGAGCTGCTCGCTGGGAGAACGGAGGAGGCTCTCTGGTACCTCGTCAGTTCGGGCTTGCATGAGCTCAACTTAGCTCACTCGGTCCTTTGGGGCTTAGTGGTACGAGGATTAGAATAGCCCTTGGTTGTGTTCTCACCCTCTTGGTTAGGGGGGGGGAGTTGGACACTGATGACAGGGGCTCAGTGAGCTTCTCTAACTCGTTTTCGAGCTTCTTCTTCCCTGGTTTTACTCTGAATAATTAGGGTCTCGAGTTCTCTCACTTGTTCCTGAAGGTCGGTCACCATGACGGACTGCTCAACCAGTTCTTCTTTCACATGGTTGTGGTATTGTCTTAGGTAAAGGTTTTGTTAGTTGTATGGATAACTGTTTATTATCTTCGTCCCAGATATCCCGCAAGGAAGCGTCTGGGTCATTGGATCCTGGTCACAATGCTTCTACAAGTCCTTCGTCGAGGTTTGACCATTGGTCTAGCCAGTCTTTCGGCGGTAGGATTTTTCGTTCTTGTGTATCTACTGATTTACCTTTAAGTTCAGCGGGGATATGCGGGGGAGAGCCCAAGGATGAGGCCTTGCTCTTTGGGCTTTGAGCTGGGAATTCGGGTAAGTCGCCTAATTCATCGTCGTCGATAGGGAGGTCAGCCCAGCTGATATTGACTCGTTGTTCACTCATTTTGACTGTACTACGGTTTGGGCTATCATTAATTTTAATTGCCATGTCAAGTAGTATCGGAGAGGGTTGCCCAGCAACGCTTCGGAGGAGTGGGGATATGCTCATCAGAGCCGAACCCCTACTCGTGTTATCTGACGGGGGCTTGGTCCCATCGCCCTCATTACTAAAAATGAGAGGGGTGCTAGTTTCTATGGGGGCACCCAGTGCTCCTTCCACATCTCCGGCGGATAGCTGGTCGCTAGTCGGGGGTTCTGCCCTTTGACTGTTCGACAGCTCGACTCCAGTGACAAACGTTTCGTCACAAGTCCAGGCACTCTCGATACCCAGTTCGAGAGTGCCTCTGTCTTTACTCAACTCATCCTTATGAGGAGAGGAGCTTCGAGACGAGTCCTTTGATGCATCAATAGAAGTAGTCGACATCTTTTGTTCTTCTAATGGGAGGTGGTAAGGGATAGGTACGGGAAGGGTCGTTGGTTCGGAGGGTGATCAGTCCTCGTCAATCTGTGGCCGTAGAGTTAAGAGATAGGTAGAGCTTTAGAATTCGAGTTTAAAAATATGTGGCGTTCTAGGAACGTACACACGAGAATTGAGTTGACTTGAGAGGACTTAGGGTTCAAATGGTAGTAAACTGGCCGAACTAAGCTTTATTTTGGGGGGAAAGGATCAACTCCCGATCCTACACTAAGTACGCTAGTTTATATAGGTTAGAGAGGATCAGGGAAAGTAGGAATAAGAGGAATAACAGGGAATAAACAGGGTAACAAAAAGGGGGAGAATATATCAGAGTTGATCTATATATTAATTGGTAACCATTTAGGCGTTGGGAGCCTAAGCCTTTTAACGAACGTCACAAGGTCCCGCTGACAGCAGGAAAGCCTGTACGTCTTTTCCCCCCTTCTAGGTTCTTTATCATCGACACATCTGAAACAGAGGAACTATTATGCAAGAGGGAAGAAAGCCACTAGCTCCTCTCGACCTTCAAATACTCATACCATGCAGCAACACAGCGGAGCAACCCAAAGCAATCTGTCATCATTACAGCAACCACCTGCGGCTTCTAGTGTTATGGCATCCACGACACTTCCCGCAGTTACCAGCACTGCAGTGGCGACAGGATCAATCCCGCCTCCATGGTGGGCTCGGTTTCTACTCTGGGTTTGCTGCGTGTCAGTGCAGAACATAGCCGGTCAACATTAGGGAAGCAATATTCTAGCTTTGATGCATCATTGTCATTTGCTGTTGTTGTTGTTGTTGTCTCGTCTAGCAGTTCTCCGCGACTTTCTTACACTCTATCGATGTACTATATTTCTTGGTACCACTTTCAAAAAAATTGTTGCCCTACATAGACACTGCAGCACGCTCCATGGGACATCACTACCTGCCTTCCAATTTGCATGATAGTATGTACTACACAAAGTTTGTCCTAGGAATTCGAACGTCTGCAACTTAAAGGAATGCCGTGCCACTTCGGGACATTTTAACTTTTGATACACAGCGCTCTTACTGTTGTCAGTCATGCATATTAGATTCGCTTCACCTGCCTGGAGAGGTGCGACTGAGTTATTTTGTGCTTTATGCACAACCTGGAGATGGATGAATCGCTAGTGCTAGTGGTGAATCCTCTCATTACCTTTCTTTCCTTCGAGCTCGTTCCAGAGTCCATTACGTCGTGATGAGAAATACATTGTGCTATGAGTTTTCCTCCATGAAACTCGACGAAACAGTCTCGTCTCGTATTATCATTATAAGATCTAATGGGCTAGAATCCGGTTTTGCCGATCAAATAAACAATCAAACGCGCGCACTGATAAGCGCAGAATTAACCCAGCATCAGGAAACCCACTGCCGAGCGAAGTGACTTGTAGCAGCTTGTAGCACAGCGCTTCTTTTAAATTGACTGTAGCAGCCAGTAGCAGCCAGTAGCAGCTAGTAGTACTAAAACCTCCGTACTGGTTCCGGGACTTTCGAAATGCTATAATGTATCCGTAATTTTCAGTAAGCGATCATGATTAAGAGTTTATCATGATCTTTGCAGCATGATAAGATGATAGTACTGAAGTGATCATGATGATGATCACTGCTCGCCATTCAATAACTTTGCCAAACAGGAAACTGGGATTGAGGGAAACTAGCAGTAGTACAGGTTCAAGAAGAAACTACTGGCAACTGAGAATAGCATGGAAGGTCTCTTTGTCTGCGAAGTTATTCACATAAAACTCGCGCGCCAGCTGCAAACTATTGTCGCGATTCATTGACAGTGGTACCTCTCGACCGAACTTGGGAATAAGCTCGATGACCTGACGCATGCTGTCCAGAGGCACTATGTCTCCCAAGGGATCATGGTTCGATCGAACACAGCGTTGAACTGAAAACATGTCGGTTACAGGAGCTGGAGTAATGAAACGAATATCGTCGATGGTGCTGAATGATGAATGAGAGAAGTTGAAAAATTCGACATAGAGAAATGGTTGGTTCAGGCGGGGCATTTCAGTAATAGGCTGGATGATAGCTTTTACTTGGACAATGAGATACCCTAGGATTCTGGGGCTAAGATGCGAAGAAGTTATAGGGAAAAGTATACACATACGTTCAGAAGTGGCGGGCGAAAGTAGTTCGCCACTTTCGTGAGTAATCAAGACAGTATCTCCCCTTCCAAACGGCATCGAAGAGCTTGGTGGTAGTGCCTGGACGGTGTGAGCAGGACTAACAATACGGCTATCTTGCGTAGAGCGCCGCTGCATGCGGAATTTTTGCCAAACGTGAAGGTAATCAAAGGAGAGAGAACAGTTGGGACGACATATTCGCCTTCCACTGCGCTCGAGGTAAGATCTACCAGAGATCAGATCACCCAGCGCTGGACAGAGATCGGGAATGTGGAAATGTTGAGAAGCTTCTTCAATAGATAGGCGAGGGAAATGCGGACGGCAAGTAAGGAGGATCGCAACAGTGTCGTCGGAAGAAAAATGAGTGTGATTGTTGGTGAAAAGGGAAGTGATTGGTTTGCCGGCGACGGCATACTGCTCACCAGGCAGAACAGTAGAGATCCAGGTTGCTTCGGGATAGTGGAGCGCCATCATGTTTGCTTCCCTGGACATTTCATAGATCAAGCTTGCCCGCTGTGACTTTAGAACTGTGTAAAGCTGGAAGAATTGCAGTTTTTCCTGCCGGTCGAGGAAGCGGCAGCACTGACTGTGGAAATCCCTGCGATTAGACATGCGGTAAGGCCGCTTCACATGAGTGATGTGGCAACACTCAGTAATATCGCTGCTCCATTGATATGGAGCACCCATGGCTCGAGTACTCCGGGCGACATGCTGCATTAACTCTAGCTTGGGGATCTGGAAGTGATTGAGGAGACCGTTCTTGCCACGGCGGCCACCCGCTGTCAGGATGAAGTCCTTATAGTAGTGAAATTCACGGAGGGCTTCGGATAAAGAATGTAAGGTTTCGTCGTAAAGGAAGAGGTTCTGTGCTTGGAATATAAATTCCGTGATAGCACATAGTGCACATGCAACTTCATCAGGGACAGCACCAACAATCACGCCAGGAAGGAGCTTCTCAAGGTCTCGATGTTCTCGACCAGTGAGCTGCTTCAGCGTGGAAACGCCATTCGCCCAATGACGCACTCCTACACGGGGTTGAAGAACTGACAGTCAACGATCGAGTTCCGCTCCCCCCATGATGTTTATAGACCAGTTGATGGGGTGGTCGAAGTAAAATTTGTGCCACTGATGGAGGCCATCTGGTATCAAAAAGAAGGATGGGCATGCATGGCCCCAATCCTTCCAGTATGGTTCAACAACACCATTCAGATGAAGGGCTTGACATGTCTTATAGAAGGATGCGATGTCGCAGGGGTCGGAAATAGTGCACGCCCTTTCAATAGCATCGAGAGTGTTAGAACGAGTTCGAGGAGGATGCGGAAGAGGATCCCCAAATTGGGCAGCGGTAGCAAGAGAAATCGGAGAACGCTTCAAGGCCGTACATGCAATGAGCAATTGTTCAGGGTAGTCGGCTATCCAGGCGACCAAAGGTGTATGAATCATACGCAAATCTCCTCTGGGGTCTGACATAGGGCAGCCATCACGAGCGGCAAGTTTCAAATTACGCATGACAATTGAAATCGCGAAATGATAGACTCGTGCGGATAAAATCGCATGTACGGGCTTCGAGACATTGAGAAACTTTGGTATTGGCAGGTAAGCGACCAAAGCGAATGCGTGTGATGTCGCCTTCATGCGAACGCCTGCATGGATATTAGCGAGCGAGATCAACAGGGGATGCATCTCCTTGTTTCCAGTCCCAATGGTCAGAGGTGTTTTGTCCGAAGCACCAATCACACCAACAAATGAATGACCTGGAGGAAGCGTATCCTGACAAGCCATGATTACTACAGTGAGCCTAAGTACCCATCATTGGTGATACCACCCACCTGTATCTCCCACGCAAGATCAGCACTCATAAATTCTCCATAAGCTCGCTGACTGTCTGCGCCCTCGAATTCCCGGTACGGCTGGAAATCCATACAAGGCGCAAAGACTGGGTTGGCGAATAGGTGCTTCACGACATCGAGACCATCCCTCCAATAGAGCACCAAGGGTGTCGCACACTGACTCGGGGGTACTGGGATGATATTGCTCAGGATGTGGGACAGACAAAAGTGGCGGGTTATAGGCTGATACGTCATCTGTAGCGCTTTCGACATGTGGGATTATGACTTCTTCCGCATCATCCAAAGGATCGAGTTCGTCGTACTCTCCATAGACTAGATGCATACTAAGATTTAGCCTCCATCAATCAAGTGACATACACGCACCGTCTTGCTCATGTTCTAGGGTGTCAGGATCATAGTCCTGTGAGAAATGACTAGGTTCCCCGAAGTCCGAGGTAAGACCTTGAACAACACGCTGACCGCAGGTAACAGTAGTTGACAGATGATGGATGACATTGTCAATGCTTGAAAATATATCTGCGCAGTTGGGGCAAGTAAATGTGTGCCCATTATTACTAGTAGTCGAATGGGGAACATGAAAAGGAGGTGAGGATGACATGCTGGCAAATGATTCAAATGATCAATGGGATTTCTTCTACTGACTCACCCTAGAGTTGAGGAAAGACCTTATAAATCTATCCATGATCCCTGGGTCGTCCAAGTTGCCCCAATTTGACTGTCCTTTCGGCATCAAGTTGACATGCAATGTCATGCATAGATAGGCCCACCTCCTAACAGTCAACTGTCCTCCCGGCATTGTCATAACTTGATCCCTGGGTCGTGCAAGTTGCCCTAATTTGATGGTCCTTTCGACATCAAGTTGACATGCAATGTCATGCATAGATAGGCCCACCTCCTAAGAGTCAACTGTCCTCCTGTCCTCCCCGGCATTGCTGTTATGCATAGTAAGTGTGATCAGGAGCTGTCAAGAACCACGATGGCTTAGCGCTTACCTCCCTTGAAGCTGAGTCCAAGAGAATTAGCGGGACTTAGCACGAATTCTTGCCAACAACCCTGGGAAACTGTTTTCTATTTGGTTGATTCAGTTATCAACAAACTTGAAGTTTGAGCTGTAACACGATTGACTTATCATTAATATGCCTTGCACAAGCAGCACTGGTAGCTCATTTGCATCAGCGAGGACCTCTAATAACCTGAGGTCTGTTTATTTATCTGAAGTTATGTTATTTTCCATGACCAGCCATTCACTGACCATATGCTCCAGTGTTTCATCACTGCCCACGTCTGAGGCACCAAATAGCTCTCCCATATTGAAGAGTGACTCTTCCAGCTTGAGGAGGACCTCCCTGGTGACCCCAAACAAGCCTAGGTATGTTCAATTAATAACATTTGTTTATGGTGAACTGTTATTCACTATGCTCTCAGAATTGTATCACCGCCTCCTACATCCGAAGCTCCTACTAGCTCTCCCATACTGAGGAGTAGCTCCTCCGACTTAGAGAGTAGCCCTATCCCAATGGTTAGCTCCCACGTCCCAGGTAGCAGCTCCTCCATCCTAATGAGTGGCTCCCCCATTCTGAAGAGTGGCCCCATCCGGAGCAGTAGCCCGCACACCGCTCATACTTCTCCCCTCACGACCACTGTGCCCAGTGAGGGTGGCCCCACTTCAGCTACCAAACACGGTCCTCGCAAGCGCCCACATCAATACAGCTTACTTGAAGATGATGGACTTGAGGATAATGGGTACTTTCCCACCAAGAGATCCAAGACGTTGTTCACATCGGTAGGTCACCCTCACTTGAATGGGGTCCAAAGCTCAAACAATTCTTAGTTCACTTGTAATCGCCCTGCTGATAGTGCAGTCTATTTCACGGAACGCATGCTTGAGCTTTCTTGTGTCAGTCGCCGCACCTTCGCCGCAAAGATGGAGTATCAGCGCCTATGCGCCGAAGAACTGTCACTGATAACGGCCATCGTGCATGATGAACTTGAAGAGTCCAAGGGCCATATGACTCAAACTGATTTGCAAATTGGTTCACTTCAAAACGAACTGTATGATGCAGGGGTGGCAGTGATAGGAAGCAAAGGGAGACCCGGAAACCAAGTACAGAAGGAGGTTGAATTTGGCAGGTTGTTCCCCGGCCGTGGTGACCACGAGGCTGATGACAGCAGTGACTCCTATGATGCTTCACACAGTGATATGGTTTCCGAATCGTTGGAATGTCACGGTGGTATTTGATGCTGCAGGAGTCACTTCATTTACAACTGAATCAGGTCTACCATTCAATTCCCTGAGTATGATCTGACCGTTTATAGAGCATATACGTATATACGTATATATGTAGTCTTGTGTAGTACTACCTGGCAGGCAGTACAATTATGATCTGTAGCAAAATTTCTGGGGTTGCTCCTATCTTGAATCTAGAAACGGCGAGCTGAAACAGTTTGGTCATCATTCATGCGGCACACTGCGGCCTCATTAAATCAAAACTTGTCGTATAATATTATGATTCAAGTAATTCAATCGCTCTACTAGTTACCCTCTTCTCTAAACCTCTACTATGCCTCGTAGCCAGGGCGGTTCAGGTCGTGGGCGTGGACGTGGACGCAGTGTGTCTGGGGCGCAGGTCGCCATCCCAGATTCTATCGAACGCACAGGATCTATTCCCCCGTTTCAATCAATTCCATTCCAACATCAAAGCAGCAGTACACTAGAGCACCTCACATCTGCCGCTGCAATGATAGAAGTACTTCTCATTTCTCATTCCTTATTTCCGTACCCACAACTATTATTCTAAGACAGACAGAGATGCTACCGACACTCTTCTAGAACACCAGTCCCGCCAACGGTCCTCACAACTCCCATCCCAGGAACGTTTACGCCCTTATTCAATCCCATCGTCACGCACCACCAGCCATCGCACATCAAGGGGGTCAGGAAGCACCTATGGTGTTGATGGCAACGAGCGCCCACTGGCAGAACGTGCTAGACGGAGCTCCAAGATGGAACTCAAACCCACTGACATGAAGTACTACAGCGAGGCGGATCAAAAAAACATCAAGCATGCTCGTAAACTCATCATTCTCGATATGCTCCTGGAGAGCGGGTGGCAGAAGACTAGCAACCTTGGTTCCATCGCTGCAGAGTGTATCTCACAGGCATCTGACACGTCTGGCCATGGTATGTTCTTTCACTAGCACTACCGACCACTAATCCTACCTCTTCATGTAGTCACCGAGTGCACGGACAGCATCAACAAACTCATTTTCGATGGATTATCAACTATCAGAGGAAAGCTCGTTAATGAGGCTGAACGAGTCCTATCGTACCTGAAAATATACCAGTCCGACGATAGCGCAATGAACGATGACAAAAGAAGCAACCATATTAAACAGTGCGTGATGCTGTTAACTGACGACACGAACCTTTTGGAGTACATCCTTCACGGTTACGATGATGAGAGGGGGAAGATTCTCGTGTATTCGGCACTTTTCTTTCTCGACCTTCACGAAGACTTCTGGTTCGGATGCAACTCACCATTCCTCAATCCGCAGTCGAGAGCATTAATCTTACACATTTCATGGCCTATGTATTCACTGACGGGCGCTGCGGTAAGCAAACCCGTCCGATTTCATCGACCAGGACTGATATTGCTAACTATTAGATTATATGTGTCATCCGCCGGGCTTCGGAAGGTCGACTATCAAAGACGAAGAACGTGCTTCAATTCTCGACGGAAGAATTCTCGGGGGTCGCGGAAGGAATCCGCAAAGCGATGATGGAATATGCTGCTAAGCCCGAGCTTGACGAGTAGTGATGTGCACGGCCCGGCTTGAGGCCCTGGGCCGGCCCAAGCCGGGCCCAAATAAGCCGGGCCCAGCCCAGGCCTAAGTCACGGCCTGAGGAAGGCTTGGGCCTGGGCTTGGGTTTCGAAAAGCCTGAGCCGGCGGCCTAAGCCGCGGCTTTGGCATGTTCTCACCGGAGGTACGTTTCCCAACTCTATTTTTGTCTTTCTAAGCTTCTGACTCCCATCACCTTTATCAGCTTCGACTCGAATCGCCTTTATCAGCTTCAACCTTCGACTCGAATGGTCCACATGTCACAGTGAGTTGCTATGCTTGTGCTTCGGTTGGTCGACATTACTCACATCGCAGTCAAAAAGCCTGCACTGTCCAACATATCCAGCAATCTATCCTCCTTCAAGGCCTTACTTCTTGTCTGTTGCTATGAAAAAGCCACGGTGAGTCGCCAGCGCTATGTCCTGTCACCTGTGCTTCGCAAGCTTGACATAACTCACTCAAACCCAGATCTCAGTTGCGCAAATCGATATTTTTGGTAAATTGCGCACCCAGTACTATCTTTCAATCGATTTATGTTGGTATCAATGGTATGTGTCCCTCTAACGTCCCTACCTGCTACCCATCCATGACAAACACAGATGCCGAGCACCGTGTTGAACGTCCCATACGCAAAACGAAACCTACAGCCGCCCTTCTTCAGCATGCCGAGAAGGCAGCACTGCCATCCCAAACAAAGGCGATTAACGAGTTCCACGCTGCGGAGGCTGCTAAACGTGCTGCTGAACATACCTCCACTTCATCCCCTACCGAAACCACACAATCTCCATCCACCTCTCCCATACCATCAGCGCCATCTGCTGTTAACACCCGCAAAAGGGTCCACCCTGAAGACTCTGACAGGGAATCTAGTGATGACGAGCGTGAAAACGCACGTACTAATCCCAAGCCTCGAAAGCAGCGCAAATCAGCTGCTGTTCCAACTGAACCAGAATTGGTTGATGCTGACGGTATTCTAATCGACATCGATGTTCAATCTCTCACGGAACCAGTGCCGACGCGAGAAGCCAAAACTGCTGACATTGATGCGTTCTTCGGTGCTACCTTTGATCATGCAGGGGCCAATGGGAAGGTGAAAAAAGCACAGGAAGTGCAAAATGTGCCCGTAAGTCTGCTCACTTGTAGTAATACACACGCTGATGCATGCTCAATAGGAAAGCATGTATTCTTGTTAACAAAATATCTACCCTCCGTCGTCATGCTGAGGCAAAGTTCTCTGGCAAATATCGAAAATGGGCCAAAGAACATTCGTTCGAGTCGATGCTTCCTGGTGATGTCAAGGCCCGCAAGGATGATGTGGCGCAGCAGAGCATTGATGCGCATCTGACTGAGTGGAAGCTTGCTGAGCGAGTAGTTTCATACTCGGATAAGTCGTTCAAACAGGCTGCAATTGAGTGGCTTGTGGCCACTGACCAGGTACTACATCTCTCTTCCTACGGAATTGAATTGACGTCTCTTTGTCTAGCCAATTCAAGCACTCGAGCATCCAAAGTTCAGGGAAATGATTGATGTTGCTGCTCGAGCAACCAACAGTGTCAAAATTCCAGGCAGGAAGGCAACTCGTGCGGAGATAATGAGAACATTCAAAACTCATCTTACGGGGCTCAGGAACACACTCAATGTAAGTAATATTTATGATATTGCTCTATCTACTCAACTAATGTAGACCGATGTAGGGCGCGACTGTTAAGGGCGCCATCAATACTACCTGTGATGCATGGCAGGCCGAAAATACTGACGGTTACTTTGCTGTCACAGGACATTGGATCGAAGAGAAGATTACCATGCAATGGGAACTCAAAAGTGCACTGCTCGGATTCACTCAAGTCAATAATGCCCACACAGGCAAGCGTCTTGGTGGTGCTTTGTTTAAAATCCTCAATCGTGTTGGTGTCACGCACAAGGTAAGTTCAGTTTACTGCAAGTATATTTAGTAGCCTTATAAATCACTCTAGCTTGGACATGTCACTTGCGATAACGCCGCAAACAATGGTACCACCCTACAGGAATTTGCAAGGCTATATGAGGCTAAGTACGACGAGGAGTTTCCCTGGCGCCAGCGGAAAATAAAGTACGTGCTTATGATCATTTCTTATTTAACGAAATCACTCATGTGACAATCTCAATAGCTGCCTAGCTCATGTTATCAATATTGCGACACAGACCTTGATCAGCTCATACAGCAAGTCCCCTCATTACAACCCGCATGACCCGAAAGCTCACGAGCCATCCAATCGAGACGAAATCGGCCTCGTTCGTAGCATCTGCATTAAGGAATGTTCGTCTGCAAAGTGAAAGGAATTGTACCGGAATGTTCAAACCAAGGGAGGTGTGTCCCAGCCGACGCAGCTGTTAATCGACATGAAGGTTCGGTGGTCCTCGACTTATATTATGCTCAACCGTGCGGAGATGAATAAGGAACATGTTGACACTTTTGTATATGAGATGGGTCGTCAAGAGCGTGATTTGGCTAGACGTGCGAAGATTGACTTTCTGCAGCTGTCAGAAGTTGAATGGATGCATGTTGGGCAGTTTGCTGATCTTCTCTCAGTACATTAATTTCTATTTATTTGAAGTTCGCTACTTATCTAGGTTTTACAGTATGCTGATGTGGCCCAACAAGCTTTCTCATCCGAACGAGGTTCAACCTTACACTTGGCAATTCCGGCACTCGAAACTCTCTATAAGGCTTGGTCATCGCGTGCAGAAAGGTCAAAGTATGCGCAGTTCGCTCCCGCACTCAAACATGCCGCAGCAAAAGTGGATGAGTATTATGAGAAGACAACGCACTCTGCTGCGTATGTATTGTCGATGTGTATGTTGTTTATTTTTTCATGAACGACTGCGAGTCTGACATTTGCACTTCAGTACTCAACCCCACCGGGAAAATGGCATATTTCAAGAAACATTGGCCAGAGGACCTGCACGATGACGTGCTTTCTACTGCGGAGACAGTGGTGAGTCATATTTTTTTTGTCAGCGTCAAGTTAATCTAAATGTGCTACTATTAGTTTAAAGCCCACTATTTTGAGTTGAACCAAGTGACATCATCGACATCACAGCACGCAACTAAGCCAAGCAGAGCTGGCAGTCTCAAGAAGTTAATTCGTGAAGTCCTCAGTGACTCCGAGGATGATTCGTCGACCAACCCAGTGCCTACTTCAATTGGTGACCCAACAAGACCGTGGAGGGCTGAATTTTTGGCCTACCTCGAGACGGTTGAAGCGGCTCCATCATCTGGCATGTCTACCATTCAATGGTGGGGTGTATGTATTTTTTTCACTACTCAAAAATTTCACGCTAATGATAATCTTGCTTAAGATCAATGCGCAGAGGTACCCTGTTTGGGCATCACTTGCACGGGATTATCTGTCCGTCATGTCGTCATCGGTCTCGAGTGAGCGGGCGTTCTCGCAAGGTGGCATCACCATCACCAAACGACGCAACCGGCTTAAGGCTGACATTGTTGAAGCACTCCAGTGTGTGAAATGTGCACTACGACACGATCTTCTGTTCCGGGAGCCTGAACCATCGTCTCTCGTTGAGTTAGAGTACCTGGACGACAATGACAAAGAAGTGGAAGCGGACGCGGAGACTGGTGATGTTGTGGATGAAGAAGGTTGGGACATTTTACTTTTGGGTGATGATGCTGAGGACGTGTCGGATGTTGAGACGGACATTTAGACACATTGTAATCATGCTGTTGCTTGTCACTACTAGCCTACACTAATGCTAAAGTAGTCTCAAGCGTCTGTTTGCTTCTAAAAGCCGCGACCTGGTTGGGCCCAAGCCCCGGCTTTGGGCTGGCTTGGGCTCACGGCCTAGGCTCAGAATTTTGTGAGCCTAAAGCCCCTCAAAGCCGAGCCTAAGCCGGGGCTTTGAGCCTAAGCCGGGCCGGAACATCACTATTGACGAGTATGAATTCATGCCACGCATGCAGGCACATCACGACAAATGCCTGTAAGTGTTCGCGGCGCATTCATCACAATGTACTGACCCCGCATTTTACAGATGAAAGCTACGGATACGCACAGGAGAAATGTCGCCAACGAAAAATACAATGAGTTATGTTGCTGCTACGACTACTGAGCTATACCAGCGCCCTTGCCCTGCACCCACCTGCACCTCCTCCTCGAGTTCGTTACCATCGTCTACCTTTGATTATGGTCACCTTCCAGTCGCATCATCGTCGTCGTCATCTGGCACTTCGTGGTACCCCCGTGAAGATGAGCATGATCCTGTTGCTGCGAAGTCGCCACTGATGATGCCGTTCCAATATTACCCACCACACTACTCACCTCCTGAGCCCCCATACCAGCCGCACTGGAATGCAAACTCCAGTGGTGATGCTGTACAACCTGACGAGCAACAGCTCGTCACCGACAATCCATCAACGTTTCCGCACGTCAGTGATCAGTATTCATTCGGGAGTTCGAGTTGGGGTGGGGCGCCTGGTACAGGCTGGGGCGGCCCCATGGCATAATACTGTTTTCATAGTCGCGCTGTTGTTATACTAGTAGATCTTATCATTTGAACTTTGATCATATCTTCTGCTAATCTGTATGATCTAAGCGTTCGATGCTTGACCGATTTGATCAGTTGATCATTAAACTCATATATGGAAAGCGAGATGCGAGTTCAGTAGTTTTAACTTCAAATGGTTTAGTTTGATTTGCTACGACGTGCTACCCGAGCTACTGTAGCACTCGACTACTACTGTAGCGGGGTTTTGCTACTGCGCTTCTGCTTGCTACGTAGTGCTATATAGTTCGAAATGTTTCACTGATGAGTATCATCATGATTTATTGAAAGTACTGCCGATAGCCGTTATGAAGAAGCATAAGCATAGACAAGGTCACGATCGTCAAGTGTAAGAACCGTCGAATAATGTTGGCAATGCTCGTCTTGAATCATGACATCGTCCACTACTGTACGTGAGTGGAACAGGCTTCTCTGGAAGATCTTCAGTCGAAGACAAGCGCACTCCGGTAAAAAAAATGTTTGCAATGTCCTACAGACGAGGATAATATTCCTCTTGATAAGCAAAATTGCGCAGTGGAAGCATTGAACATGTGAGGTTAGTTGCACTGAGAGTACGTAGAGGCGAAAGCGAAAGTGACGTACCAGCAAGTGAAAGCACTGAGCAGGAACATGGTTTATGATGCCCCCTGTATTGAGAATTTGCTCACAGGCGTGCACATGCCCTGTGCTGCTGAGAATGTGACCTTACCCATGTCTTGAGGAACATAAGTGGCTCGGTTCCAGCGAGGAGGGTAGCTATGTTCGTCCCATGAAAGCCGCTAAAACACTGCGCCAAAACCAACCATTGGCGACAATGGCGATAAAGTTTCAAGTATTGGGGACCATTGGGAGATCGAAGGTGAGAAGCTCATCTAGAAATACCATCCGTCAGAACTGGAGGCCTCTTAATTACAGATCGTCGAGAACGCAGAAGGAAACTTCGTTGGCATCAGTCTTTAGCGCGTTCCACAACTCCAAGGTTTGCTTCTGAAAGAGAGGCTGAATGGGGACCGTTACCTGCTGTGGCCCAGATTCTGACAGGAGAGACTCTTTGCGCATGAAGAAGGTAGCATAGGGAAGACGAAAGTCGGAATCTTCTTCAGCAGCATGTGAGCTGCTCGGACATGGACGGTACTTGACAAGCTCCTCAAGCCAAGTAAGCAGTCGAGAGCCGAAGCTGTTTCCCCTATGCTATGGTGAGACATGTCCTGAGCTCAAGATGCGGCACACGTACCTGATTCGCGAGAGGAACAGATACTTGAGGATCCGAGTGGCGCATTCCTGCTTGATGGTGTTTGTACGACCAAGCGAAGACAATGTGTGGGTGGAACGTGAACAATAGAACAGAGACGTGGCTGCATAGCAAAGTGCTCCGGCGAGAGAGGTGTGCACTTCCTAACAAATAGAACAGCATGTGTCTGCATAAGACTTCGACGATACAGGTATGGAGCTCCTTACAATAAGGTAGTTGATGCGTAACGGAGAGGGTGGAAATAATGCTCACCCCCATAGTGCTCTCTTGGTGGCATTTCCACCTGGCACAGACTCGTTGTGTGCAAAGGCTTTTCGACCACATCGTTGATCCGCGCCCGTCCTGCAGTAATTTGGATGATCGCCAGGTTCAATGTTGATACCACGAGACATTATCAAGTTTACGTCTATAAGAACCCACCTCTGCACTGGAATATTAGACTACTCACTGAAACACAGTCACTCGCCCAAACACCTGCCGATAGTCGAGCACGTGTTCCAAGTTCTCCATGATTGCTTGCTAGCGGATGGCCTTCGTGATGCGATATTGCACCTCGACATCGAACGAGTTGGTGTTGAGCGCGTTAGTGTCGCGCTGCCAGCCAAGCTCGGGTTGCTGTGCGTGGTCACGGTGCCACTGCGGGAGCCCTGTGATATGTGCGAGGTTTGACTGGCGGCGAAAACCGTTTTGGATCGTATCTGAGTGGAAAAATACCTACAAAGCAAGGTAAGAATTAACAACTGTGCGTCCTTGGGACGTTGACAGCTGATTCGATCTGCACATTAGGTTGACTACTTACTAGAAGCTCGGGATGAGCAACGCACCTAGGCCGCGAAATGCAAGGTGTCCTTGTCATTTTTCTCATTCGTATCGATAGCACGGTGTTCCCACACTTGCTGCATGAGCTCAGGTGTTTCAGTGGAGTGGTATACTAATAGTATACGAATTTCTGCGAGTAGCCCGACGTGGCAGACATGTCGAGTGCGACAGGTATGGCAAGCCCCAAAGCGGCCGTCTTGTAGAGGTGCGAATGCCAATGCGAGAATTTCTCGATGAGAAAGCTGCAAGTGTTAATGTTGTAAGCGTTTTAAGTGCTCAAGCGGGGTCAGCCATAGCATTTGTGACGATACACGAATGTGCGGATAGACAAGTAGACATAGTTCGTGGCAAACGGTGGTACCGACTAGGAAGACTGCACGTGGCTGTGCTTGATCAGCTGGAATTTAAGCGAGTCAACGCATGGTAGCTTGATTACACTATTGAAAGGGGCAAACATCACCATTTGAAGTCGACACGTTGACGCTACAGGACTGCTCTAGTAAGGATAGTTACTACAATCGCAACGACAGCCCCTAGCGTCAACATCGGACAATCACATCCGATATGTGAGAGAAGCGAGAGCAGTAAATCGGTGATGATCTAAGCTGTGGTGTAGATTCGGAAAGGAGAACATCTGCGCACATGGAGAAGGCACTGCCACTCCGCGCGCAGAAGCGTGGAAGGAGAAGAGTCTTCTTCAGTAGTGCATAGACCCTCGGATAAGGATGGCGCTTGACAGCTTCCTGAAGTCCAGTAGGCAGTCGAAAGTTGATGCTGTCTTCTTTATGCTACAGTGAGACATGGCCTGAGCTCATGGTGCGGAGCACATACCTGATTTGCACGAGGAAAAGATGTTCAAGAATCCAAGTAGTCCTAATGCGTTCCTGCTCGATGGTTGAGTCATTGAGGTATCGATACTTGTAAATGGTTGTCAACCGGGGAATGTTTGCAGAGATACGGGAACTGCTTGCTGAGGTAATTTGCGAGACACATGCTAGAGAAGACAACGCGGTGGAGTCGAGTAGATGTCTCCGAGTCTCAGAGATAATTCTTGCTGGCGATGGAGATAAGGGTGAGTGAAGAACGATAGAAATGCGGGCTTGCTTGATAACAGGACTACCAGATGTGATGCTGAGATGTCGATGTCGATGAAGAAACTGGTTGTCAGACGTGACTCGGGCGCTTGATCTGCGCAGCAAGCTGTGAAGCGAAGATGAGGATAGAGCAAGGAAGACGCCCATGTACAGGACTTCAACAGCAACCTCCATCTAGTTCTCGCGAGCATCAAACAATAAGTCCATTCCTTTTCAGCTTTCATTCGTCCTGGGCACGTGTGTTCTGTGTAAAATCAAGTACCTCTAAGTGAGTGATGGCGTCCGCTTGGTGGGCAAGAGCTGAAATTGTCCCGCTCCTATTAGGTGAAGTTTCCGAACCAATATCATGTCTTCACGAGCCCCTGCAAAGCGAGAAATATCAGCGACAAAGGCTCCCCAAAAGATGCAAGGACACACCGGTGACGTCTCTGGCGTCCTACAGCTGCCCGATAACCGGCGGATCATCACCTGTTCAAGGGACAACACACTTCGAGTCTGGGACTTGGAGAGCGGTATGCAGGTCGGGAAGGCCTGGATGGATGAAGGAAGTGGATATGTGCAGCCCATAGCACTTTCGCCGGACGGTAAGACAGTAGCAAGTGGGAGTCCGGATGGTACAGTGAGATTGTGGGAAATTGACACAGGCAAGGTCATCAAAAAATTGACGGGGCACACAATGGCAGTGGGGTCTGTGTGCTGGAGTCCAGATGGAGGGCGAGTGGTGAGCGGGGGCGACAGTAGGAACATTCAGAGTATGGGACATCGAGAGCGGAAAGATGATCCTTGAACCAATCGAGGCAGTGAAAGACAGCCGGGTGTACGTAGTTTGCTACTCACCCGACGGCACGATGATTGCGACGGGCACGTTCAAGCTGAAAGTCTGGGATGCCAATACAGGCCAATTGCTCAAAACATTCGACTTCACAGTCACTTACTGCCTGGCATGGATCTCAGACGGAAAGACGCTTATCGCCGGGTCATTCCGCCATATCGCCGGCACGGGAAACTATCAAATCAGGAAATTCGACACCGCCACCTGGACCGAAACTGCTGTTCTGGAGGGACACAGCAGTTTTGTCCGTGCTATTTCACTGTCTCCAAATGAACGCATCCTCGCAAGCGTATCACAGGACAAGACAGCGCGACTATGGAACCTGGAAACAAATCAGCCCATTGGACAACCCTTTTACCATGATAACTCGGTGATTTGTGCGACCTTTTCTGTGGATGGAAGGTTGCTCGTCACTGGCTGCTTGATCAAGGACATATACAAATGGGATGTCTCTGGTGTCGTCAAGGAAGCTGGCCTCGAGCACCTTCTATCAGACAATGTAAGCTTGTGTACATTTCATCCTCAATCATGCTGACAATGGGTCGTCCTTTCAGGTGGTATGTTGCATCATGTCTCTTCAACAGCCTTTCTCATTCATCTTCATTCATCGCAAAAAACAATCAAGAAGCCATTTAACATTAATGTATGTTATGTGTCTCTTGACCTTTTGCACGGCCTTGAATATCTACATACTAGGCTGATGCTACACGACCTCGGCCTTCGAAAATCGAAGGCACTCGTCCGGGTCGACGACCCCTAGGGTTTTTCGATGATGTACGTGATTTCCATCTGTAATATGACGTCTCCTTTGACCATTGTCTTATTAGTTCTCTACCTCCCGAGGACGGAGTGTCCCCACAACACCAAATCAACACACACTCCTCGGTCGCTTACCTTCCCTCTGGCGCCGGCGCTCCAATTCACGCGGAGCAACCGAACACGACATCCCGTCCAGATCACACCCTCGTAGCTGGGCTAAAAACATCATATCCGGCAGACAACGCAGACAAGATGGATCAAACATCCAGTTGCGAGAGCTACCGGTAGTTGACGTCCCGTGCGCCCCAGGCAAGCCTGTGCGCTTTTTTCCACCTCTATTCTTCTCATGACTGACATGTTTTCACGCAGAGGGACTATCATGCAAGAGGGAAGAAAGCAGCCAGCTTCTCTCGACCTCCCAAAATCCATGTCATGCAGCAACCTACTGGTGGAGCAACTCAAAGCACACCCCCACCATCGCCACCACAGCAAGCCATGACATCAGCTGCAATTCCTACAGTCTCCACTACCGCGGCGGCGACTGAAACCTCGCACCTTGATATCACTATACGCCGGGCTGGATGCTGGACGCGGTTCTGGCTCTGGATTGGTTGTATCTCTATCGAAAATAATCAACTATAGGGAAGAAACGTTCTGGAACACCATTGACATTTTTCATCATCTCATCTAGTTATCTATAGCTCTTCTACCCTCTATCATTGTACTGTATTCTCTACTTGTTCTGCTACGCTTGTCTATTGCCTTATGTCGGTCCAGCTTGGTTCCACTCTGTACTATGGAAGCTGATCGCTTAGGCTCTTCTGCAACTCTTCTATGATACATTGATTCTGACGAGCTTTTTCAGCGAAACACTATGACCGACTTCAATCCCTCCGCTGTGGCGCGTGGCGTCGTCAAGGTCATTCGGGAACCTACGATAACAGGTCTCGAGTCAGACGTGCAGATTTCAACTTTCCTCCCTTTCGTGGGGGGGTGGTCCGTAAACAAGGTTTTGATGCCCCTGTTTGGGATATCGTACTCGACAAGGCGAGGGTGGTGATTACCCTACCGAAAAATGAGTCTGAGCAAAACCCGCTTCTTCCGAGTTAATGAACTAATAATCTCCCTCGGTGTATTAGATCGTCGTAACACACGCGCAGGGCACCTTTTAAAATATGTAGTTTATACCTCATAGTACGCAAATGTTTATATCTTAGAGTGTATCATTAAACCTTACTTTCTATTACGCACGCTATACTACTCAACTTGTTAGCTGGCTGATAAAACATTGAAACCTAATGTATGAAGCAGAAACTCGAGACTGTTGCCATCTATGTCGTGCATGCTGCTTACATGTCTGAAGTGCATCACAATCCAAGCTGCCATCTGTCGTGACGCAGCTCAAGCAGCAATTTGCTGATTGCACTGGGAATCATTCAATGACAAGACTGCTTAGTTCTGAAGGCGAAACTCACATCACCGTGGACTGGTACGGTCAAGTTAGCACAGTGCACGATGCTGACTTGCACGTCATGGCACTTGGTATTAGTGCACACGTCAAGTACTACACAATAAAAGCACCGATGTGAAGTGCCCACCCAATGTTGCTTTGGTACTCCGCTACGAGCTTTCGTGTGCGACCTGGAGTGGAAGGCTGGATTGTTTATAAAACTGATCTCTGCCAGGGAACGACTCACTGGAAATGGTGTGAGAGATAAAGGGAATCAGAAGGTCCCATAAACATGACTTGAAGTGCACGTCACAGCGCTTGCTGGCATACTCGAACCATGCAGGGTAAAACCCAGATCTGTGCCAGTCCAAGACATACAACGTGCTATCGCGTGCTAACAAAATGTTCCGGGGACACAAGTCTTTGTGTGCAAAGACTGGTGGCCACGAGCTGTCGAACTGCAGAGCGTCGAGAGGCGCTTTCTTCATCCGCTGAGATACGTCAAACTTGTGGTTAAACCATGCTATCATATCGTCATAAGAAACGAATGGGCCTGCGCCGTATGCGGTGAAGAATCGTCCCGTGAACAGGACGCAATTAAGAGTCCTATAACTTTCGCACTACCTCTGTTTGGGCCAAAGCGGCACTTGGCCGTGTAATGTGGAGGACGGAGAGGTGGGTTGAAATGTGGGAATAAAACCACAGGCTTTCGCTATCGGTGCAGCCAGGTCAATTGGTGTGAAACGGGTCACGTTGGGTTCTGATAAAAGGCAGGAGGAGGTTCGAACTTGACCACAGTTTCAGCTGCGACATTAGGGACGCTCAAAGTTCGGGGGCGCACATGTCGCCCACGCCCACCGCCCACGCCTACGACCCCCCGCACAGCAACACCATCCCGTTTTGTACATATCTGTATTATATAATACAATGCTAAGGTAGTCATTGAAGGCTTGTACAATAAACATATCACAGATGGCTCGTCACACATTGCACGAGCAATACCTGCGCTCATACCTCATCCTTATTGCCCTTCGTATCTTATTTCACCCTGCAGAGACTGTAGAAGAAGCAGCACAGCAGCTGCACTGTGACATATCTTGCATTCTCGCAATCTGGCAAACTCGCTACCTACAAGGACAATCCCCCATTGCCGCGAAAGCGGGTAGTTTACACCTTGCTTGGGAATATGCCAAAAGTCCATCTGACCACGACCGCTTTACCAACATGCTTCGAATTTCCCCTACGGTTTTCGAGGTGTTACTTGATTTAATCGAAGACCATCCTGCATTCTATAATAATTCACACAATTCTCAAACACCCATCCAGACTCAGCTTGCCGTCACACTCTATCGGATGGGACGCTACGGAAATGGCGGGTCACTAGAGGACATTGCCCGCCACGCAGGGATCTCAGAGGGTGGAGTGGAGTTATTTACGGAGCGATGCTTCGCTGCAATTGAATCCTTGCATGATGCATTTGTTCGCCTACCAACTGCCGAGGAGAAGGAGATTGAGAAGTTGTGGATAGATCATGAACTTGGATTTTGGGGAACTTGGCGGGAAGGCTGGGTAATGTATGACGGGACTATTGTTGTCCTGTACACCAAACCAGGCCTCAATGGAGATGCATACTTCACTCGTAAGTCAAACTATGGTCTCAATCTCCAGGTAAGCCTACACTATGTATCTGTAACAAAAATATAACCATCACATGTTGAACAGATCAGAAATCTACCCTCCAATCTCCGCATTGTTGATTATGCACATGGACTCACAGGCTCGGCACATGATGCCTCTGCATTCGAGCATACTGCAGCAGCCAAGCATACTGACTGGTTCTTCAAGGGCAATGAATTTGCCTGGGTCAACTCTGCATATCCTGTCAGTCCATACACTATTCCTGTTCACAAGCGCCCTGCTTCCCTCTTGCCAGAGAATACCCTTTTCGATAGTGCAGTTGCTCATCTTCGGGTACGATCTGAGCATTGTATGGGGGCTTTGAAAGGCCATTGGCAGTGCCTCCGGGGACTTCGGGTAAACATCAATTCAAAACACAAGCATCGAGCTGCATGTCATTGGATAACAATTGCAATTATATTGCATAACCTCGTCATAGATGTGGAGGGAGCTGTACAGGGGGAGCATTTTGCTGATACCCATTCTCGCATTGAAGAGGAAGAAGATTGAGGGACAGCTGACCTTGCTCGGGATAATGGGAGGAATTATGGAGAAGCAAAGCGGCAACAACTTGTTGAAGAACTACTGGCATTTTGGCAAATGTAACTAAAATTTGACAAACTGCTATTAAACGTGAATAATTGTCAAGGAATGTGTGATAAGGAGTGGAAGAACATCAGTTGAAAAATAGACACCGTCCGAAGGAAGAAAAATAGAAAAATAACCCTACTCAAAGTCACCCCAGTCCGGAGAGTAGTGAGCACGCTTCTCAGGCTTCTCAGAAGTCCCAGTCAGTTCACGTAACTTCGCCCGATACTCATCAACATCCCAGATACCAGCTTCGAACTCCTTCAGCAACATCTGACGCTCTTGGAGACGCATATCAGCTGCAGCACGAGCACCAATTGCCTCTAGACTTGCCCTTTGCAAAAGTATGAGAGGCAGCATTGATCAACAAAAATTCGCCCACCTTTGCATGTCCATCAGAGTCTCGTCAAGACTCCGCTTTTTTGGTACCTTGGATATGTGGTGCCTTGCTTTCTCAACACTGCTCTGAGAAAGTGATGAAGCCTTGGGAGGCTTCTTCCCAAGTGGGGTCGAGATTGGTTGTGACGGAGGGGGGGCATTCTCTTTATCATCACTGTTGTACAGAGATTGGGAGAGATCACAGGGGTCATGGTAGGACTCGGATGGAAACTCGAAGGGAGACTCGAAGGATGGTGAGCTTGCACGACGAGTGGCCTCAGCCTCGAGAACTCTGTGAAGGGTCAGCATCTGTGACTGCTGATCAGCCGTGAATCCAACTTCGTCACCTTCATCATCACTCAGAGCCTGAAAATGAACTGTCTTCTTTCCATGTGGGCCAGTGCCAGTAGTGATCGCAATTGGTGTCACATTCGGATGAGAGGAGAGGATGCAATGAAGGACTGGAAAAAACTGAAATTCATTAACAATCTCATCTGTATGATGTCAGATACTCGGAGACAATGCACAGTAATGTAAGGTACATACCCCAAATGGACTGTGCCCTCGAAGTAGTTGTCTCGTTTGGTCCAGAAGCAGGAACATAACACTGGAAATATTTGTTGTCGCCGTTGGACAGATTGCCATCTGTATCAGCTTGGATGCCTTCACCTGTTGTCTGAAGCCAGCAAGCCAGCTCTTTGTATTTCTTTGTCAGGCTGTAAGAACTGTATGAGTTTGAGGAAACAAAATATGTGGCAGACTTACTGCTCATATTTCCGTTTGACACGTTCTCCAACTGCAACAGCATTCAAGCTATGTAACTGTGGGAATATTGTGGCCCCCATGCGCTGGTAAATGGTGACTTTGCTGTCGCCCGATGTTCTCTGCAAGTCATCATCAGTCTTGTACCATTGTGCCATTTGGACTTACTTACCTCGCCCTTCTTGCGCTTCCCCAGCAGCACGACTCTGTTTTCTGACAACTCTATTTGGGTTAGCAATTGCCAGATCACATCGGCTGTCCATTCAATTTCGGGAATCGCGACTCCGGTGTTCTTCTTCCGCATCACAAAGCACAACGACGGCGATGATAACAACGACAAAGTGTAAAGTGTTTATTTTTCACAAGTTTAATATTATGTAATATACAAAGTACATTTTGGGTAGGGTGGTGGGGTCATGGGCGTGGGCGGTGGGCGTGGGCGACCTGTGTGCCCCCGAACTTTGAGCGTCCCTATTAGGGATGTTCAAAGTTGGGCGCCCATGCCCACCGCCTATGCCCACGACCCCCCTCGCCCATATACCACTACCCATTTTGTACTTGAACGAATGTATTATATAATCAATGATAACTTAACACTACCGAAACCACATTACACTCAATGGCACGTCTCCGAACATCACGCAAGCAATACCTTCACTCATATCTCTTGCTTATGGTTCTTCGCACTTTGTGTCAGCCAGATATGACCCTTGAAGAGGCAGCAGCACAGCAGTGGACATAGTAACATACCCCAAATACACTGTGCTTTCGGAGTTGTGGTTGTGTCGGGTCCATCAGCAGGGACATAGCATTCGAAAAATTTGTTGTCAGAGACATTGCCGTTTGCATCAGATTGGATCCCTTCACCAGTTGTTTGGAGATGTCGAGCATGCACCTTGTATTTTTTCATTAAGCTGAGCAGAATTGTAAGCTGGAAAATAGTGAAAAAGCGCAACACTCACTACTCATACTTTCGTTTGACTCGGTCCCCCATTGCAACAGCATTCTGGCTGTGCAATTGCGGGAAAACGGCAGCCGCCATGCGCTGATATACCGTCACTTTGCTATCTCCTGACGTGTTCTGGCACAGAAACATCATATCTTGTATCACATATGACAACTTTGACTCACTGACCTTGCCCTTCTTCCGTTTGCCTAGAAGCACGACTCTGTTCTCCGAAAGTTCAATCTGCGCCAATAGCTGCCAGACCAAGTCGTCGGTCCAGACAATCTCCAGGATTGTGACGCTGTTATCCTTCTTCTTCGCCATATGTGCAGATCTGATTGATGGTGAGTAGAAGGTAACAAACAATAATTTTTTACAATTACTTTTGTATTATCTAATTATGCAAACTACATTTTAGGTGACGACGCCGTGGGCAAAGGGGTCGTGGGCGTAGGCGGTGGGCGTGGGCGCCCAACTTTGAATGTCCCTATTCTGATTCCTGAAAGTACGTCACTTAGTAAGTCCAAGAACTGAAGGCACTGAATTCCCACACCTCGCGAAAATACAGTTGTAACTACATCAATGTTTGGACCCGTCGAAAAACTATCGTTTTACGATCCCTGACATTCCCTGTTTGGTATAGTCTCATGTGAACTGAATTGATTTCTAACACTTAAACTGCGTGAAATTTCAGCCGCTTTTGCTGATGTAGTTCTTTTCCGGCTCCCACCACCATGATCTCCTTCTTCGATCCTTTGTATTTCGAAACTGCTCCTGAGTCGGTTTACTGAGTCTACATACAGGTCCTGTCAACGGCAAGATAGACGATCTCTACCACTCTGGAGCAAATGATTTTTTCTTGCCAACAACGACTTCATCCACAATGCCTCCTGAAGCGCCATCGATCAAGTCAATCCTGCAAATGCACTCGACATGCTCATATCGCAACCACGCCTTAATATCACCATATGTCGGGTTGGATGCTGGACGCCATTCTGGCTCTGGTAAGAACAATACTATTATTCTGTACCTAGACAAAGGCTAGTGCACAAGTCAATACAAGACGGCGTGATACGACGGACACAGTACACACCTCAGTAGAGTTGTAACAACAATTCTGAGGTGGTCAAGAGGCGAAGCGTGGTACAAATATCAGCAGAGTCGATTAGGTAACGAGTCCGGAGGATGGAGAAGCCTGAGAGAAGATGAGAGTCATATGGTATACAAAGGTGTACGAGATAACAAGATAGGTAAGGAACTCAACATATTGATGTTAACATGCTTTACTTGTGTCCACTCCAAGGCCTGATGTACCAGAGACTGGTAGACCTCTGTTGAAGAAATGGTGGAGTTGTGAGTGATAGCAAACCATTGCATCCCCATGAATACACCAACAATCCGTGCGCCGTGTGAACTTTCTATCGTTTCGTCCAGTCCTCTGTGACTCTCCTACCTTTTTCGTCTTGCCTGAGCAGAACAACAATGCCCAAGCCATCGCAAAATTTGAACAGTTGCAATTCTGGCCTGAGATTTCCTTATTTTCACAACAATGTCACGCTTCATCGACTCGCATACTTGACGTCAGATCACCTCCCAAAGCACTTAGAACAACAAGGCCCACATCCCAGAACCATCACAGCGTGGATATGGTTCCGTATGCTTCACGCCGACAGATCAAGATGCAATCGCTGCAAGTGATTGGTTTCGACCGCACCTTTGTCGACTTGATGCGAATCAATGTTATGATTGACAAAGTAAGTTTTTTGAGTGTCAGTGCTAGTGTGATCCTACTCAAGACGAAGATTTATGTCATTGCAGAGCCAGGACCTTCGTCACCACCACATATTCACAAGCAGACAAGGATAGTCAGATAAGTGCCCAAACACAGCCCCTCCCATGCATGTCACACAACACCGCATGAAAGAAGGTCCATCATGGGCAATCAAGAAATCCCATACGGTTCTACCTGCTGACCAAGTTCGATATCTGACGGACCATACAATAATGAGGCTGTCTCGGACCTCGAATGGATGCAACTTCGAGGTAAAGTGCCACTTGAGCGTTCATAAGAAAGCCCACTGATGACCTTATGATTGTAGGCTTTAGTTAGAGCCAGGTATATCATCAGTGCAGACGGCGCCCAGCTCAACCGTGAGACCTCAGTTCCTGCTAGCTGAGCTTTGTGGAATGTCTGACAACCATCTCCAGATCCTGTACCATCACCGGCATAGGGTTCTCTGACCCAGAAGGCCCCAACTTAGGCAATCACATACTGACTCAAATGGTCAGTGCAGATGTTACGTTCGAGCCCGAACATGTCGGTCAATTAACCATTGAGGGCCATATCAATAGCATGATTTCCGCAGACGGTTTCCTGATGCTCACACCGTTCGGCAACTGCTTTCATTCCGAGCTGACGCGCAATGGAAAACTCGTTACAAAATTCGTCTTCCATATAATTTCTGCCATACCGGTGAAGAACGGAGACCCACCCCATGCACCACCGAAGGAGTACATCTAGAAATTGATCGACATGTACGGCCCAGCATCTATAACATCGAATTTGTCCCTAAACCTGACACCCGTCAAGGTCGACCAGCTGGTCTGGTCGACACATTTCAGAACCCATTCAGTTGTCACTGACCGCACGTTCACGCGTCTTGGTGCCGCTATTTTCCTAGTCGGTGATGCCACTCACATACAGTCGCCTGCAGGGGGCCAGGGCATGAACCTGGCCATCAGGGACGCAATCTTCTTTACAGAAGCCATCACAAAGCACATTCAAGCGTTTGCAGGAGATTCCGATGTGGATGATACAATTTTGCGGGAATGTGCACAAGTGCATCATGGGCGAGTGCTGGAAATCATCAGCTTCACCAAGAAGCTTTTGAAACTCGCAAGCCTTACGCATGATGTGTATGTGTGGTGGATGCCATTCAGTCTAGCCTCTATCCGCGATCTGATGTTAAGGATATTGGGCAGATTTGATTTTGTGCAGTCGAGTGTTGCATGGAGCCTGAGTGGGCTTGGAAGACGGTAATCGCATATTTTTGGGTGGTTTGGTTGACCGCGCTTCATTTCTACTCTGCATACTATACATATGATATTACCATCTCTATCTTTCTAGACATAATAGCCTGCTCTTATCGATGCAACAGTTATCTGACTATGCAGTCGATTATGTTGAGAGATGCAATGAATCGAGTTCGAAGGGGAAATGTAGAGATCGCAAAAGATAGTTTAGAACAGATCTATGAATAATACTGACGAATCACAATAATCGGGAGATGTTTGGGCCTGATGCTGAGGGTGAACACTGGGTAGATTCAGATGATCGTTCGAGAGGATACATGCCATCTTAAATACAAGAATGAGCGACAAGGGGAGCAAATAGTGGCAACTTGGCAAGGGCGATAAGAAAACGAATGTGCAGCCTGTGCTAAGACAATGTGTATTGTGCATTGTGTCAAGAGCACGTCAATTAGTACTAGTGATGGAAAAGTTCGGTTCAGTCCGGTTCACCAGGAAATTTGGTGAACGTTGAACCGGACGTCACATTCGGTTCAGTGATTTTGCTGAACGCTGGACCGAATGTGCTCAAACGCGTTCAGTGCATTTGGTTCACGTTCTGTTTGGCATTTGAATGCTGAACGTCTGGAATTTATGCACAAGGTTAAAGACACTGCGTGGCATCATGCGAGGGGCTTAGTGATGTTCCGGCCCGGCTTGGGCTCAAAGCCCCAGCTTAGGCTCAGCCTGGAGGGTGTTTGGGCTCACTAGATTTCAAGCCTGAGCTGTGAGCCCAAGCCAGCCGAAAGCTGGGGCTTGGGCCCAAGCAAGCCATGGCCTGTGCGCAAAATTCCAACAACACAAAGCACTGGAACTGGGATAGGTCAGAAGCAGACAAGCCTCGAACAAGTGAGTATGAAAATGGTAGAAATAATGTACATACATACACAGATATAACATATATACTGGGAACAATGCAGGCAAACACAAACGAGGGGCGGAGATCACGCACTCCCTGAGAGCGGGACATCGCCGTGGCACCATCAGCATCAGGTCAGAAGTTCAAAACACAAGATCAGACACTATCTGAGAGCGGGACAATCGCCGTGGCACCATCAGCGTCAGGTAAGCAGCTCAAAGGACAACATCATGCACCTCCTGAGAGTAGGATATCGCCGTGGGACCAAATTCTCGAGACCAGCTTGCAATGCATCAGCAATACTCTGAGTAGCATTGGCAGGCTCCTGTAAGAATCAGTAAGATGATGTCAATATTGGTAAGTAAAAAGAAAACAAGGAAGGAAAATGATGCACCTGAAGGCATTTGGCACCTTGAAGACCACTACAGTGCATCCCAAGCACAACCCATCAATCTCTTCACCTGGGGAATCAACTTGGAACAAAGTACACACATGATGTGACATGAAAGTCACTGAGCTGTGAAAGGAATCTAACCCCCACAACATCACAAAATTCTAGGACTAGGTAGTGTTCGCGTTCGGCGTTCGGACACATTCGAACACATTCAAAAAGGTTCGGAGAAAGCTGAATGTAGAACCGAACTATGGGTTCGGTTCAGCCCATACCCTGAACCTTGAACTGGACTTCAGTTTGGTTCAGGAAAAGTCCGGTTCGAACCGCGGTTCAGGACCGAACTTTTCCATCACTAATTAGTACATGAGGTGGCGTAGTGAAAATATGAATTGGTGAAGTAGGAGAGTCTAGAAAGGGTCGAAGAAAGAGAATGACGGAAGGAATGTCCTACCATGATGCGAAGGGGAACATTTTCACCCGGCAGACTTGTTGTGTGAGTTGCAATGACTGCTGAAACATGGAGCAAATTGATTTGTCGCACTCGACCGCTGATCTCTTCAATAGAGCAGCTATCTGAGCTCCCTGGTCTTTTTGCAAGTTCTTCAGTCTCTCATGTCAGGCTAGGAAAAAATGGCGTACTTGACATGTCTATTAGTACTCCTCTTCTTTCACAGAGCCCTGGAACAGTGGGTCATCACACCCAACAGACTTCATCTCTGATAGGCACATGAGGCAGCTCGACATGTCATTCCATCGCATATCCATTCAATATATCAATGTCACGTTCCTCCTCGGTCAATTATCTCCTGTAGTGTTTTCAACGTTGATACAAGACATTGTTCAAAATCATCTGAGTACACGGTGCCTTGGATTATCAAGTCTATCGATCTTTCCACATGACCCAATCTGCTCAGCCTCAAGACTTCTCAAGCTCAGTGCATACCTAGTGCACATTGAACACGTCAAGAAGGTTCTTGCGACGCTCGGTTGTATGTGAGCTCTGGTGAAATATCATGGAGGTATGATCTCCATCAGCATGAACAGACAGGTCGACGTCTGTGAGCCACAGTTGTGCAATATGCACACACTTTGCTTGAACTGCCTGTGAACGAAGCGCAGTAGGTACCACGTCAGCTTTCGTCAACAATAGATAGTAATGATGGTGTACCTGCACATTTGGGCCTTGGCCAGGAGTGAAGCAAGTATTGCAAGAGACCAATTATGATCTGCTGCGCCCTGCTAACCAGACACAGATACAAATTCACCTAGACTGGTACGCTACGTCTATAAGTACCCACTTTTGCACTTGAATATTAGACCACAGCTCACCGAAACAGATATAGTCACCCGCCCAAACGAGTGCGGGGAGTCCTCAAGTGCGTGCTCCATGTTCTCCACAACTGCTTGCTACTGGATGGAACATAAAATAAGTGAGGTAGGAATCCGTAAGCGTGGCTTTGGCACGTCAACACGCTGTAAGTTCGACCTGCACCAGGCCATAGTGTCAATATGATATATCATTTTACTGTCATTGAAGTAAATCCGTGATATATCCCTGGAGTCGGCTTACCACAGCAAATAGTTTAGATGCCATTACAAATGATATATCACCATGTACCCAATATGCACTGCCGCAATTTTGGCAATTTTGAAACTCAGCTTTTGTCATTCCAGGCATTTGGTCACCTCCTCATGTCAGGCCTTCTCACACTATTCCCACACTCCGCATTTTCGCATTTTTAGCCACCTTACTCCACAACACCCAAAACATGACCCAATATGGTACATCCCCACAATTTCAATTATTCCCACCCTCCCCCTACATCATTGCAGCTTCACCACCACACCACAATAGATCCCTGTGCATATATAAGTAGCAGTTTAGTATATATATGTATGATATAATGTAATAGACCGCTTTTTTTGTCTATTTGTGTGCCTGCTCCTCCTCTAGGGCCCTCTTGACATAGGGTAGGTTATAAAACATTTTCGCATTTTTGCCTCTTTGGTGGGGAGGTGTTCTATTATATTCAGAACATGTCTATGAGCATATATGAGTAGATTCCCATCTTTATTTCACCCCCTGAAGCGTCCTACATCAATAGATATAGCACATATGCAAGAAAACATAAAATGTGTTCTTATTGAATTATTTCTAGGTAGACAGACTTGGAAAAATCATTCCTAGTATCTATCCAACTGTAGGAACAACGTATCAGGAGCATAGGACTATAGGATGATCACCTGTTGCATAGTGTACCCCCCCTCTCCTGGTGGTTCACCCCCTGTGAAAGTTTTTCCTGTAGGACCCTCGGGTCTATTTCTATGTATATTTGGAGTAGGTCTATCATATAGCTGGCCCAGTACACACATAGGATCCTTCTACAGGAACAAAAATATATAAAATCGCATTTTTGACATTTTTGATGTTTTTCAGTGTCTTACTCTTGCATAAATAATTCAGCCTGTGCATATATGATTATCACAGTATATATACTTGCTTTGTATGACAAAGATCAGTTCAAAATAGGTTGTAGGCTTGAGATACTGCATATGCTTGCTATTTCTACTGATAAGGGATCAATACCTTCAAAACATCGAAATTTAATAATCAGAAACTTGGAGTACATTCCAAATATATTCAGTATCATATTCATAAATTCACAAAACAATCCAACAGGAATTGAGTGCTGAGGAAGTGAAATAGATAAGAAATGGAGTGTGGGAAAGTCCAAAGACCCAAAACATCGAAAATGATCAGTTGGGCAGTAGTAGGACTTTAATGCTGAATCAACTCAGATATGCACTACATTTCCTCCACAATCCTCTAACCTCAGGGCAGTGTGTAGTAGAGGTTTATTTAGTAGTCTACTATGTATCCTACATATTTTTAATGAAATCTTCGGCCTATATCATATATAAATGTGACTTTGTGTAAAAAGATGACAATTGTCACTTTTCACACATATGTCATTTTGCTTGTCATTCAGTCAGTCCTTCATGGATCTTTCTAAAACTTCAAATATATCATTAGGGACATATATGAGAGGTATCACAGGTATCTGATCACTTATCACAGGCTTAATTATTATGTAGGCTTCTTATCAGTAGAAATACCTCCTGTACATCAGATATCATATTTGCGCCCTATGTAGGGCTGATCCTTGACATAGAACATATGTATGAATGTACTACTGATTATATATGAGCAGGCTGGATTATTTATGCAAGATTAAGACATGTAAAAACATCAAAAATGTCAAAAATGCGATTTTATATATTTTAATTCCTGTAGAAGGATCCTATATGTGTTCTTGGCCAGCTATATGATATATCTACTCCAAATATACATAGAAATAGACCCGAGGGTCCTACAGGAAAAACTTTCACAGGGGGTGAACCACCAGGAGAGGGGGGGTACACTATGCAACAGGTGATCATCCTATAGTCCTATGCTCCTGATACGTTGTTCCTACAGTTGGATAGATACTAGGAATGATTTTTCCAAGTCTGTCTACCTAGAAATAATTCAATAAGAACACATTTTATGTTTTCTTGCATATGTGCTATATCTATTGATGTAGGACGCTTCAGGGGGTGAAATAAAGATGGGAATCTACTCATATATGCTCATAGACATGTTCTGAATATAATAGAACACCTCCCACCAAAGGGGCAAAAATGCGAAAATGTTTTATAACCTACCCTATGTCAAGAGGGCCCTAGAGGAGGAGCAGGCACACAAATAGACAAAAAAAGCGGTCTATTACATTATATCATACATATATATACTAAACTGCTACTTATATATGCACAGGGATCTATTGTGGTGTGGTGGTGAAGCTGCAATGATGTAGGGGGAGGGTGGGAATAATTGAAATTGTGGGGATGTACCATATTGGGTCATGTTTTGGGTGTTGTGGAGTAAGGTGGCTAAAAATGCGAAAATGCGGAGTGTGGGAATAGTGTGAGAAGGCCTGACATGAGGAGGTGACCAAATGCCTGGAATGACAAAAGCTGAGTTTCAAAATTGCCAAAATTGCGGCAGTGCATACACAGCACAAACACGTAGATTACTGCTTCTGGGAAACACAATGCAATTTGACACTTTCCAGTAATTTTCTTGCATTTCCCCGAATGAAAAATACACCCTGTGGTATTTCAACAGAATCTGAAAATACAATCAAACTTTCCTTTCGTTGTGTCACAAATATTGATCAACATGGGACTTAGTCGCAATTTTGTTCTGGTTGGCCCCAGTGCTCTTGACTCTCGACCATGACCGCGCACCAGGATCCTTAATGCAAACACAATTGCTGGTGGTGTTACATTGGGAAGCTCTTGTTTATCATGCTAATCCCCCTCACAAGTCACAGATGCGACAACTCAATGACTCGTTATCAATGTACGTGACATTTTAGTTGACCAATTTCGGGGCTGATGTTATACTACAATGTCCTGCTCAGCTCGAGGAGCTTATTGACTTCTGAGGTTCAACGTGTTATCATGCACGAGACAGCCACAGCTCATGTACGTTGTTAACATTTCTCGATGAGTTGTTCTTCTGACTTGAATGCTTTCAGTCCTCTGTGACGTCACCTAGCCTATCCATCAATCATCCACACACAGCCGCTGCCATGCTCTCGCATCAAGTCTCGTCAACCGGAACTGATCTCGCAAATCAATTGGGTATGTTATGTGGTTGACAATATGTGCATATATTCACTTTATTTCAGTAAGGCTCTCCACTTTATGCCCAGACTTGACACTTCCAGTAAGATGTCTACACAAGTAATGATTTCTGAGGGCTGATGCCCCCATTTTTGTTTTTTCTCCAGCTTAGGCACTCACCATCTTGATTACTCTCATCACAAGCTCTCGAGCTGAAACTTGTGGAGCACAGTACTGGCCGGGCAGGTGTTTCGAATGGATTATATCACTCAAATATCAGTCATACTCTGCTATATAGTATACCCATAATGTCCATACTGTCAATATATTATATTAATGAGCTGCAGCTAGGACGAGCGTGAAAGTAGCGTGCTATCAAACAATATTTTGAATATAGCAGCTGCATCCATCAAGTACTCCAGGAGAAATCTCTGTGAATTCTGGGTATATTCTAGGGGAAAATGTCGCTATAATGATAGCAAAGTCTGTAACTTTTGGCAAATTACCAGACGAGAGAGTCTGGCAGAAAACGTGGTGATATTCTCGTGTATTTTCACACTTTATCCACATTATACCATTTTCATAATCTACTGGTTTGTGCTGTGATATTGGGTACATGGTGATATATCATTTGTAATGGCATCTAAACTATTTGCCGTGGTAAGCCGACTCCAGGGATATATCACGGATTTACTTCAATGACAGTAAATGATATGTCATACTGCCAGGATATTGTGCCTGCACATATTGTAGGCTGGCTACTTACTGGGATATCGAGATAAGCAACGTACATGGACCGCAAGGTCTACCCGTACCTTTTCGTCGTCCTTCTTACAAACATCCCTCAGACATGTGTACATTCATGTCGGCAGCACGATGTTTCCACACGCCCACCGGAGTGGGGCACTATATGAGGATCAAGTAGTCGGACATGGCAAGCATGTCAAGTGCGACAGGCCCGGCAAGCCCAGAATCGGCAATCCTGTAGAGGATTGTGAGATGTGAGTGCTAATGCGAGAATGTCTTGGAAAGAAACCTGCGAGCATTGATGACTGTAAGCGATTGTCTTGGCAGCTCGAGCATGGTCAGCCATAGCAGTTGCAGCATAAACTTGCGGATAAAGCTTCGTAGTAAACGGCGATATCGATTAGGAAGACTGCATGCGACTGTTTTCTGAACTTGTTTAGCTGTAGTTTACGAGTCAGCGCATAGTAGCTTTATTGCGGGGGCAGTCATAACCATTCGAAGTCAGAATAAAGATGGTAGGTGCTCTAGCAAAGTTGTAGTTGTGACAAATTCGCTACACATCGAACAGTCATCCGAGATGTGGGAAGGCGCGATGGGAGAAGAGCTATGGCGATAAAGGTATAAGTAGTTCATACGACTCAGTGTCGTATTTATCCACTGCGGTCTTAGATAGACTTGAAGCGAGAGCAGGTGAATTGGCGATGATCTAAGCTGTGGCGCAGATTTGGAAAGAAGGAAATCTGGGCACATGAAGAAGGCACTGCCGCTCTACGCGGAGAAGCGAGGAAGGGGAAGAGTCTTCTTCAGTAGTGCATAGGCCCTTGGATAAGGATGGCGCTTGACAGGTTCCTGAATTTTAGCAGGTAGTTGAGTGTTGACGCTGTCTTCTTTATGCTATGGTGAGATATAGCCTGAGCTAATGCTGCGGAGCACATACCTTATTCACGCGAGGAAAAGATGTTCAAGAATCCAAGTAGTACTGGTGCATTCCTGCTTGATGATCGAGTCATTGAGGTATCGATACTGGTAAATGGTTGTCAACCGGGAGATGTCTGAAGAGATACGGGAACTGCTTGCTGAGATGATTTGCGAGACACGTGCTATAGAAGACAACGCGATGGAGTCGGATAGACGTCTCCGAGTCTCAGAGATAATTCTTGCTGGCGATGGAGATAAGGGTGGCTGAAGAACGACAGAAATGCAGGCTCGCTTGATAGCAGGACTACCAGATGTGATGCTGAGATGTCGATATCGATGAAGAAAGTGGTTGTCAGACAACGTGAGTCGTGCGCTTGATCGGCACAGCAAGCCGCAAGAGGATAAAGCAAGGAAGACGCACATGTACAGGACTTGAACAGCAACCTCCCTCTAGCTCTAGCGAGCATCAAACAATAAGTCCATTCCTTTTCAGCTTTCATTCGTCCTGGGCGGGTGTGTTCTGTGTAAAACCAAGTACCTCTGAGTGAGTGATGGCGTTTGTTTGGTGGGCAAGAGCTGAAATTGTCCCGCTCCTATTAGGTGAAGTTTCCGAACCAATATCATGTCTTCACGAGTCCCTGAAAAGCAAGAGAAATCAGTGACAAAGCCTCTCCAAAGGATGCAAGGACACACCAGCTCGGTCCTCGGCGTCCTACGGCTGCCCGATAACCGGCGGATCATCACCTGTTCATTGGACGGCACACTTCGAGTCTGGGACTTGGAGAGCGGTATGCAGGTCGGGAAGGACTGGACGGACGAACGAAGTGAGCAAATGACAGACATAGCACTTTCGCCGGACGGCAAAACAGTAGCAAGTGGGAGCGGGGATGGTACAGTGAGATTGTGGGAAATTGACACAGGCAAGGTCATCAAAAAATTGACGGGGCACACAAAGACAGTGTGGTCTGTGTGCTGGAGTCCAGATGGAGGACGAGTGGTGAGCGGGTGCGACGGTGGGACATTCAGAGTATGGGACGTCGAGAGCGGAAAGATGATCCTTGAACCAATCAAGGCCGACGCGGAAGGCCGCAATGTGTCGGCGGTTTGCTACTCACCCGATGGTACAATGATTGCGACGGGCGTTTCGGGCATAGAGAAACGTCTGAAAGTCTGGGATGCCAACACAGGCGAATTGCTCAAAACACTCGACAATGTATTCGTTCCAGCTCTCTGTCTGGCATGGACCTCAGACCGAAAGACGCTTATCACCGCCGAGGCAAACTTCTGTGTCAGGAAATTCGACACCGCCACCTGGACCGAAACCGCTGTTCTGGAGGGACACGATCTTGCTGTCGCTGCTATTTCACTGTCTCCGAATGAACGCATCCTTGCAAGTGTATCATGGGACAATACAGCGCAACTATGGAACCTAGAAACCAATCAGCCCATCGGACAACCCTTCTACCATGAAGACTGGGTGAGGTGTGTGACCTTTTCTGTGGATGGAAGGTTGCTCGTCACTGGCTGCGATGACAAGGACATATACAAATGGGATGTCTCTGCTATCGTCAAGGAAGCTGGCCTCGAGCACCTTCTATCAGACAATGTAAGCTTGTGTACATTTCATCCTCAATCATGCTGACAATGGGTCGTCCTTTCAGGTGGTATGTTGCATCATGTCTCTTCAACAGCCTTTCTCATATCTTCATTCATCGCAAAAAACAATCAAGAAGCCATTTGACATTAATGTATGTTATGTGTCTCTTGACCTTTTTCACGGCCTTGAATATCTACATACTAGGCTAATGCTACACGACCGCGGCCTTCGAAAATCGAAGGCACTCGTCCGAGTCGACGACCCCCAGGGTTTTTCGACGACGTATGTGATCTCCATCTCCAATCTAAGATCTCCTTTGACCATTATCTTATTAGTTCTCTACCTCCCGAGGACGAAGTGTCACGACAACACCAAATCAACACACACTCCTCGGTCGCTTACCTTCCCTCTGGCGCCGGCGCTCCAATTCACGCGCAGCAACCGACCACGACACCCCGCCCAGATCCCACCCTCGTAGCTGGGCTAAAAACATCACGTCCGGCAGACAAACCAGACAAGATGGATCGAACATCCAGTTGCGAGAGCTACCGGTAGTAGTTGACGTCCCGTGCGCCCCAGGCGCGCCTGTACGCTTTTTTCTACCTCTATTCTTTTTATCACTGACACGTTTTCACGCAGAGGATATATCATGCAAGAGGGAAGAAAGCAGCCAGCTCCTCTCGACCTCCCAAAATCCATGTCATGCAGCAACCTACTGGCGGAGCAACCCAGAGCACACCCCCACCATCCTCATCACAGCAAGCCACGACATCAGCTGCAATTCCTACAGTCTCCACTACCACGGCGGCGACTGGAACCTCGCACCTTGATATCACCATACGTCGAGCTGGATGCTGGACGCGGTTCTGGCTCTGGATTGGTTGTATCTCTATCGAAAATAATCAACTATAGGGAAGAAACGTTCTGGAACACCATTGACATTTTTCATCATCTCATCTAGTTATATATAGCTCTTCTACCCTCCATCATTGTACTGTATTCTCTACTTGTTCTGCTCCGCTTGTCTATTGCCTTATGTCGGTCGAGCTTGGTTCCACTCTGTACTGTAGAAGCTGATCACTTAGGCTCTTCTACGACTCTTCTATGATACATTAATTCTGACGAGCTTTTTCAGCGAAACATTATGACCGAATTCAATCCCTCTGCTGTGGTGCGTGGCGTCGGCAAGGTCATTCGGGAACCTACGATAACAGGTCTCGAGTCAGACGTGCAGATTTAACTTACCTCC